TTGAAAGATCCACACACCGCGGTGTTGTCGACATCGATGAGCACGTGCGCTCGCTGCAAAGAAGCCGGAAAACGCGCACAGATGAGGCGCAACAAGTGGTACAACGCAAACATCTCATTCTTGTTTATATGTTTGTGTAGCCAATCGTCGGGGAACACCACCAGCGCGGAATTGAGCTCCCCCAATGTTGATAGCGCCACCCCAGCCAAGGGAAGACGCGTCCGATGATCCGTCGAGTTTGGCGATGAGGTGGCTCGCTCGCTGTCAAGGCCCTTCGAGCGAAGAAGCCGTCAGCGACAGCCACTTCTGGAACTCTTGCCGTAGCTCCTCGTAAGCATCACATGTCAAATCGACCTGACGCTGGTTGGTTTTGTCCATCGCGGAAAGGACGGCAAACATGGCATGCGTTCAAAGTGACGCCGACCGGATCGCCACGGTCATGCTCTTGCCCGCAACGCGTTGCAGCGTTCGGTAGGACACGCCCCCATCGGCCAGGGCTGTTCGCAGTAAGTCATGCAGCTTGTCCAGCTTCTCTTGGGGAACCGGAAGGTCATCGTCTCCGAATCGCAGATGATGCCGAGGTATTGTAGAGCTGTGACGGGTCGAAGCTCGCATTTCTTGAGTGACAGGAACTATCCGCAAAAGACCGAAGTCAGCATGGCGACGTGGGTCGCTTCCCCGGCTGCCAACCACTGATCCCGCGCCGGCCGACCATATGTGGTCAGGAAGTTGCTCCGCCAAGAATCATCGAGTATGCGAGAGAAGGGGCGCCGTTGGAACGCTGAAAAGCCGCCTTCGCTTCGCTGAGGGTATGGTAGACGTATGGGCTGAGGCTAAATCCGAACGGGAGGACGCACCAGCAGTAGTCGACGCCCTTGTAGGATAAGCCGAACAGAGGCCATGACGACGGCCGCAGAAAAAAACTTGATGAAACGCTGAGGAGTCGTCGAGGGACGTCATGTAACATCCCGACGACGCGATGCTAGCCACGCACTACCGTGTCCATGGCGAAAGGTATTTTCCGTGTGCAGCTGTTGAGCGGTCGAGCGTCATAGATGAGACGCGGTTTGGACGTCTCCACCGACAAAGCCATGATCATGCGAGGACGCACCGGACCGGTGGAGCTTTTGACGTCAACCCACCGTGAAATGCAACCTCTGGCGAGCAAGGATTGCATTTCCGCGTCGACGAAGCTGTCAAATTCCGGCGGCCAACGGTGGTTGGAGAAGATGCGCTGCGGAAAATGATCAACATTGTAGGGGAGAGACGGCGACCCGCCTCTGAATTTGGGAAGCAGAAGGTCATAAAGGTCTACGCCATCCCGGATGTACGAAGTCAATGTATCTCGTAAGGGATGATCACGGAGAATGTAGTCCTCCCATAACCCAGCATGGGCTCGCACGAAGCCAGGGACGAAACCCTTTGAATCCCACACGGGAGCCTGCCATGGCAAGCGGCGTAATTCGCCTTCCATCGGGTCCCGCGTGACCTCATCCAAGGTAGGAAACCCGCCAGAGGCCGTGGGAAAGGCGCTCACTTGCGCTCACTCGGACTCATCTGGCGGCAATAGGGGGGCTGGGGGCATGATCCACTCCACACTTTTGTGGCGGCGGTCAAGCGTCCGCAGCCATTCCTCGGCTGCAACCTACCCGTGAGCCAAGTGTAAGGAACAGTTCGGAGTGCAGCGACACACACAACAATTTCGAATTTCGAACCAAACCGGGAAGTGCCTATGAGAGCATTGGACATGCGACAAGACAAAAAGGGCGGTGGCGGGGGGGGGGGTCGGGAATACAGAGATCGAGATCCCCCCCCCCCCTTTTTTTCTTTTTTTTTGGAAGAGGAAACCTGGGCGCTGAGAACTGACAGCACGGGTTCCGTCAACCGCAGCCATTCCTCGGCTGCAACCTACCCGTGAGCCAAGTGTAAGGAACAGTTCGGAGTGCAGCGACACACACAACAATTTCGAATTTCAAACCAAACCGGGAAGTGCCTATGAGAGCATGGGACATGGGACAAAAAAAAAAGGGGGGGGGGGGGGGGGGGGGGTCGGGAATACAGAGATCGAGATCCCCCCCCCCCGTTTTTTCTTTTTTTTGGAAGAGGAAACCTGGGCGCTGAGAACTGACAGCACGGGTTCCCGTCAACATAGAAAGGCACACAGCATTATATATATATTTGCTTTTCGGGGCCCAATTTGTATGGCCGCGTGTGAAACTACGTTACGAAGCAAACGTCGATTCGATGCTGTGTATCCAGGCGTACCGTCGAGAAAACATGACAGCGCACGGACCAACTAACACAACGTCTCGCCGGACTTATCCAAGTGTAAGTCGACCTACTCACAGACAGGATTGCTAGCTACGGCGGAGTTGGTGTGCATATGTGTTGGTGTCAGTTGGGCGTGCTCCACGAGGTACGTCAGTACGCGAGAGGCACAGGAACTAATTCGGCATGTGACCATGTGGTGCTTACATAAAACAACCCGAACGATCACTACTTATTATTATGTGGTTGTGTGGTGTGCACGTTGGCACGCGACCCCAAGGGAAAAAAGGCACCACCGAACGGCATGTATTTGTGTGGTGTGCACGTTGGACACGCAATCCCAAAGGAAAAAGGCACCGCCGAACGGCCATATGTGGCATATGTATGAGGCACAAGCTGCATGAGATACAAGACAGCAGGTGACGGGAGCCCAGACATTCCCTAGTTGGGAGGGATACCTCCAACGCGGCCGCATGCGATGCGTGAGGTGGGTGTTGTTTATCTTATCCGTGAACAACACCAGGTACGAGGCAAGAAGACCAGAACCCAAAGAACGAAAGGGCATGAGGCAGCAGGCAAGAAGAAGATCCCGAAGAGACGAAACACCACCGGCAAGCCAATGTAACATTGTGTCTACCAAAGGGCAGACCCCGGCCGGTGTTGTGGTAAGAGCAACGCTAAGAACGAACGACTAACCTCAGGATACTCATCATTAGGGAAAAGGAGTAGCAAGCCAGCTGTCGACAAAGGAAAACAGAGACCCCAAAGGAAAACGGCAAAGCCTGAGGGAACCCAGCAACAAGCCAACAAACGCGCCAGGCCCCCTCACTCACTGCACACGCCTACTCGGGGCGGGAAGACTGAAGGCAGAGCCTACGCAACTTAATAAGGGCAACCATTGGACCGGTGTCCGGCACGCCGACATTTGGAGCATATGGCGAACGCACAAGTCTTGTGATTGTGGTTGGCGTTCCTGCCCGCGGCCTTGCATTTCTCGCAAGTGGGGCCGCCCGCCACGGGCTGGAGGTGCTGCTGGGCGTCCCGGAGAGCGCCGTTCAACACGTCGATCTTGGACTGACCACGGTTACTCGGAAGCGATGCGCGCGTGCCCCCGCCCCCCCGTGATCCCGCTTCCTTGGTCTTAGACTTCCTCGCGCCGCCGCCGCCAAGCGGAAGGGTGACGGATGGGTGCTGCAGAGCGGCAACACTCTGTGCCACACCGCTGGAAAAACCCTGCGGCGCGAGGCCCGCAGCGGCTCCAAGGCTAGGAGGGGAAGAAAACCCCCCACCGACCTGGAGAGGGGAACCGCCGCCGGCCGCCGCGACGGACTTCGGTTGAGAACCCCCGGAGAGACCCAAGGCCTTCTGGATGGTGCGAGATGTTTTTTGGTCGTCATCCAGCGTGGACTTCGAGACCCCACGCGAGTTGGGGAGCTTGTCCGTAAATATCGCTAACGCAATAATGTCTCCGAAGCGCCGGGCAATGCATATCACCCTCCACATAATCTTGTCAAGAATGCGTTGATCGCCTAGGATCCCTTCCGTGGCTGCGTGGTTCGCGGCTTGAAATAGCGCGTGATGGAAGTGAGGCCAGGAGAAGAGGCCGTCAGTGTTACGGCAGATTCGCAGGGCCGTGACGACG